AGTATATGGACAGATAAGCAACATTATAAAAGTACTTATTTGTCATTGGTGGGATTATGCACATTTTATATTTTCCCCCTCTTGCTTGTCTGCATTTTCTATTTTTCTGTAAGGGACATAAACTGTTTTTGTAATAATTTAAAAAGATCCTACAAAAATTTAAATTAAGAAAATAACTATTGATTTTAAAGGTGTTTTACTACAACTTATGTTTTAAAACAACTATAGGGTATTAAACTAAAATAGTGAATAAAAAATGAGCCAAGAAAGAAGCCAGTTTGTGAGTATATACAGATCAAAAATAGTGCCTGCAAAGAGGCAGGCACTAGACAAGCTGGTGGGGGTAAGATGGCAGGCAGTTTTCGGGCTCTTGATTTTGAGTCAAGGCAATAGAGAAGTGCCCGCTGAGTTACACAGCATCCTCAGAAGGCATAGGCTTTCCTTCCAGTTAATGCCCAGAATCAAATTCAACATGGCAATTTTATCTCCTAATTACTCTACCACAGGTGGAAATCCTAAAGAACTGACTTATGTTGCATTGTAGCATCATCCCAAAGAGTTCTGAGCTCTGATGAGTGACACATGTTTTGATTTTTAAGATTTGGTGTCCTGAATTTTTAAATATATCTAATGCTGAATCATAAATAAAAGTTTGCTTCTTTGTTTCCAGTACATTTTTTTCAAGTTGACTCAAATGAGTATATCCTGTACAAAGAAAATCACTGAAGTCAGGGTGGCTTACTGAACACTGTTTTCACATACAGATTCAATATTTTTCTAGGAGACTTAGATCCTCACTGATTTTTTCATAGTTGCTATTGTGTGAATCACTCAGGTTGTAGATAAGTGGCTGAATTGTTGATGTAGAAGAAGAAATACTCACTAGTTTTCTTAGCAAATTCAATTATATCAATTATGGATTTATATCATTTTTCCACACATACTACACTGGTATAAAATTTATATTCCAACAATTATACATATTAATAAGAAGTCAAAATTAGAGTTTGAATGGCTTTTAAGCAGTGAGTGACAGAATAAAATAGGAAGTATTTGGGAGTTAGAGTTTACAGCTTGACTGACTATGAGTATTTCATTGGGCCTTTTGAATGCAGTATGTACTCTGCTAATATTTGTCTAGTTCTCTGCGTAGGATATAAAAACTCAAAAATGACCTTGCAAGAATTTTTTATGTATTTTGGTTCATCCAATTACACAAAGCAAATATTAAATAAAATGGACTGAAGAGATTACATTACCATACTTCTAAACAAACACTTATTAGAAATGCCTTAATGTTTAATCATATGTAATGTTTAAACAAGATTTACAGTGTTTAACTATATGATTTATTAACCAACAGTAGTGATCAAAAGAATCTTGCTACTAAAAGGACTCAAAAACTAATAAAGAAAAAGAAATTATTAGGAATGATATCAATAATATTAAATAAAAGGATAATAATAGGAATTAAAAGAAAATATATAGTAAAGGGAAAAATGAATTATGTTGGGAAAAGCTGGAAAGCATTATTTTTATTAGCATGATAAATAACAAACATAAATGATTATTATGGGTTTGAAGGCAGGTTAGAATTCTGTTCATCTCTGATTACCCAGTGGATTGTGTTTCATAATGGTATTTATACATTAAGTACATTAAATGTGTGGTTAAAAATTTTAAAGAGAAATTGAAAATGTGGGCATGCTTATATTTATCAATAAGTAGTTCATAGCATCTTTTATTAGCATCATAACTGTGTCAATGGTAAGAGTAAGAAACAAGCTGTTGTGATTGAAGATTAAACATTAAATTATATCAAAAAATTAAGTTCTAAGATCAGAGACTATACTATAGGAATTAAGGCAAGGGAGAGATCAGAATAGACTGTAAGATGTGCTAAAATTTAAGACAGATCCTATAATTTCCAAATTCTTACCTGTTATCTTTTTCCACCAATTTGATTTCTGAAATTCTAGCACACGACTAGAACCTAATTGTTACCAATTAAAAAAAAATCCTATATGGCATCTATATTCAAAGATATAGACATTACCACAAGCAATTTTATTTTTCCTTTGAAACGTTCTTCTCTATTCAACTTTCCTATCTTTTGTGGAAATATAAATATCTTGCCAATTCTGAAAACCTAGAGCATACTAGCCATTCTAGATTCTAGCATCAGCTTTTGGAGATGGGAGGAGGGATGTGCATTTAGTGATCAGTTGCTATGTATTACTCCATGTGTTAGCTCTGTGAAAATCATGGCCTCTTGTGTTTCAAATAGTGAGAGTGAAATTTTCAGGGGGTTATATGTGGTTATGCATGTTTTTGTCCACTGGGGATCTATTAATTTTAAATTTTAATTCTAGAGATATTCTTTCCTGGGAAATGGGAGTAGAAATAAAACAGACATCACAATCACCAAGCGGTGAAACGGTGGCAGCCGCCATGGGAACAGGCTGCACAGAGCACTGAGCAAGCAGAGAGGCTTGGCCTCTTGCCCAGCACGGGACGCTGGGGGTGCAGTGCACAGCGACCCAAAGGTTCGCGTGGAAAAGTCATGGCAGGGCACTGCTCACCATACCCAGGGGGGACACCGTTTCTCACTCACTCAATAACTACATGGGTGAGTGGAGGCCCCCAATGTATCCTTCCCATGAAGAAATAAAACATACGAGAAGAAAAAAGTCTCCTCAGAAATATGGGTTATTTAATTTACGATTTGTATTTTCAGTAAAAGGCTGCGTGTTTTCAGAAAACAGTGCAAGAGATTAGATAAAATGGAGTTGCTGTGCAAGGGAGGTTAGCGGGCAATAAAACTCTGATGAGTAAAGAGAAGATAAAGGAAAGTGTGTGACTCGAGCAGAGGACCCTTCCCTTTAGCAGGATGGACACATTTCCTAACCATGCTGACATGAATCTTTAGACACTTACTCCTGTTCAGTCCTTTGCACTTGTACCCTCACCTTGTTGAGTGGGTATAAGCCAGGAAAGAAGCCCAGAGAATCTAAGAAAGGCCAGGCCTCAGAAAAAACAGTTACGGTAGAGGATGACAGTCATTCATGGAAATAAAAATGAATCATTCACTGCAAGTCATATTATGGCAGAGAGGGCTCCTCCTCCTTCACTCTTGTGTAGAGCCACTGGCAACCTGACAAGTGCCCCCAACCTTTCCTGACTGAAGGCATCGCTTTCTGGGACAGATCAGTTTTCTTTGTGTTTGCTATTAGCTATTTAAAAAATCAGTGGTTCCCTCTAGCACTTACTTTGTAATTTTTCAGACATTTAATAATTCTTACATGGTTTATAGAAAGAGAAAAGGGATCATGATCACAAGGGGACATGTTGCAACGCATTACGACCCATTCTAGCTCTGTGTCTGAGGTGGGCTAGTCTATCATGTGTAAACATCAGTGGTGAGGAAAAGCACATGTCTCATGGAAGCATAAAATTGAGAGTCTCCTGCGTGTAAAGTGATAGTATTAACTTTGGGTGAAGTTAAAGAACTCTTTAACATAAAATGTTAGAAGTGTATAAGGCTAAGACAACAACAGCAAGATTGACATTTTTATTGGTACAAAAGATTGTAAAAGGCACAAAAAATGCCAATTAGAATGACATTAACTCATTCATTTTTTTCATCATTCATTTATGAGTGCCTACTATTTGCCAGGCACTGTGTTTGATGTTGAATATGGTCATCCAGTAAAACACAGGTCAGATGAAAATGAACTTAGAAATTAGGGTCTTTAAAATAGAAAACTATCTATGAGACAATGAATAAAGAATTTAGTTTGGATTTAAAAAACAGGTTGATTTTAAATACAAACTAAAAGTATTGTATTTAAAAGTATTACTAAGCATAAGTAAGTTTTTGCAATAATTGTATCACTATTTTGAATAAGAAATAAACAGAATATAATGGCAGTAATGGAAATCATTCCAGAGAAAACCAAGCAATAATAATTGCTGATGGAATATGATGCTTTCATTATAACCACAAAATAAATGTTTTAAGATCTGATGAATATCTCTGACACTCCTGAGATCCAAAATGCATTTGCGCCCAATACAAAAAAAAAATTACTGATCTGTTCCTTTAACACCAATTATTTATGCATATTTCATTCAGAGTCAAATGTTGAATTGTGTTATTTTTTTTCTGAAATTTTGATGTATCAAGGAGATTTTATGTGAAGCCAAAGAAGTAAATAATGGTTCTGTGCATTTTGACTGAACATACCTATCAAATGCTTTTGACCTAAAATATTAGTACCTTGGTTTATCACATAACTTATTTACAAAATGTTGCTACAAGTAAAGAATGAAGATATTTCACTATTGAAGACACTCAGATAATATGCTATACTTGGAACCCTGAAACTCTAAAATATTAGCTTCAAGTTTATTTTGAACAATGATAGCAGCTAAATGTTGCTTTGAAGGCAAAAGTTTCAATTAATAAAAATAGTATAAACATTTTAGAAGCATGTGATCTGATGTGTTTTGTAACAGATGCACTTTATAGTAAAACTGCACATATAACCAATTTGTGTGTGACTATAAGTAATTTTCAAAGCATTTTCTTACTGATGGCACATGGAATAATAGTGATAAATTTCATTGTCCAATATCTTTTGTTTGACTATTTTTCTTCTGTGATTTGGTGGAACAGACCGCTTGGCATTTGTGGTAATTTCAAGACCTTTATCAGTACTAAACAATACTACTGAGCTAAACTATACTACTAAACTAAACTAAACTATAGTTTATCAGACCATCAGTAGTATCAGCAGTGGGTGACAGAGAATTCTGCTATGACTATACTACCTAGAGAGTTTATTTTGGATAAAATGTAAAAGAAGCCTTTGAAAATAATTCAAAACAAAAATTCTTTTTTTACTAGGATTTTCCAAAACACATTGAGGGTTGAATAGTTTAGGTACTTACTCAAACAGATGGACCTCCATTCTTACATAACATTTTTTGTTTCTTACCAGTTGTGTAGCTTCTTGTGCAAGACCTTTGGCTTCTTTGGCAATTTTCTCAGCTTCATCAATATAGTCCTTAATATTGGTGTAAGCTTTGAAGGCTGCTGTGGCATTGAAGGAGATGTTTTTAGCCTCATCAAGGATTCTGTTGGGATTACCCCAAAAGAGAACATCAGAGCAGTTGATAGTCAAATGAAGAGCATCCTACTTAAAACAAATTTGGTTTCTAAGTAACCATGGCCAATAGAATTATGATAATTTCCAAATCATAGTGGGCTACCTACTTACTGGCTTATGTTGTAGTTTTTAACTTAAATTCATCTTTCTAAAAACTTCAGCCATGAAATATTACCAATAGATTATTAGATATGCATAGCATCCCCCAAAGCTTCTGTAACCATGTACATCATGCAAGTGTATGCAGTGAGATGATCCTTTACATCATTTGTAAAGCACGCTACACATTTCAGAGCACTTGTACCACATTATTGGAATACCTTTCACGAAATCTCTCTAGGGTCGGTGTATTTTTCAGGTGAGAAGAAATGACTCTCGGAAGGTTAAATGGCTTATCTCAGGTCATATGTCTAACATGTTGCCAAATAAGGGCTTGGAGTCAGCATCTGCTGACTTTTAGTTTTACTCTTCTATCTACTCCTCATGCTAAACTGGCAAAAATTTGTTATAAAATGAACTGTGCATGGATTATGGGTCTTTAAATATTAATATTTTCCTTTGTATCAGTGAGTATTACATACTGGAACAGAACCTTACACATGTCATATATAAAATACAGATTTGTTTGGGAAAATTATTCTTGGGGCTAATAACACCAATATAATTGTAGGAAAGCATATCACTTTTACTTGGAAGGCTGTTCATAAATCAGACACACCTCCCCACCTGTCCCTCCCTCCTTCGGCCCATACAAGAATCCCAGCTATAGTGAGCTGTTATTTCACAGAGGGATATATAGTGTCTCCTGGAGTCTGAAAAGAAAATAAGATTTAATGGCTATGCATGGGACCACATTTTCAAAAGCCACAGTTTTAACCATAAATACTTTTGATTTCATTAAAAATATAAAATTGAAATTTGCAGCAGAATGTGTGCTTATACATTATTATTTAAAAGGCTAATGAGGCAACTGTTATGCTCTCTAATAAAGAACAAAGCCATGTTTTCTAAGTTTGGCCTGGGGCTGTGTTCACTCCCTACCAAGCCACATTTGAATCCACTTTTAACTCAGATGTTTGATGCCGCTCCAGTAGAGCTCTGTCCAGACCATGCTAATTAGGCTCATCCACAGAAAGGCCATGCAGCTCATGTGCTCATAATTACAGAAATCAAGATTTGAAAGCAATTCTCTACCATTTCCGTTAGTCAAAACTGTTGGACAACTGTCAAGATACGTAGACATTTCCAACAACAGATGACATACCCATCTAGGACAGCAGATGAGTCATTCAACTGAGCGGCGTGGCTCTCGGCCTGGGACACCTTCTCAGCAAGCTTCCTGTCTTTCATTTCTTGGGAGAGGTCATCTATTTTGCCTTTCAGCTCCTCAGACATGGGTGGTAATTTAGTTTGAATGTCTTTCACATACTGTTATGTAGAGAAAAGAATGTGTTTTAAGAAAGTGAATCCAAGCCTTCTCTCATTTACTAATTACTCTCTGAGATACAGTTACTCATCCTTAGTTTTTTATGAAACTTCAAATGTACTAACATAGCAAAAAGAAAATAGAGAATAAAAGTTGTGTTGTCTAATGAGAAAGATTAGGAAATATACAATTTACATCAAGAAGAACCTATCTTTTTTTAAAAAATGCTACTTCACAGGTAAAAATGCTTAAATGATCCTCATTAGAATCTTTTAGACCATTTATGTTTCTATCTCCATATATTACAATGTTTATTGTATTAGACAGTATGTAAAAAGTCTGTTTGTAGATTTACATTTCTCTTGTAACTAATATTATATGAATATGAAAGCAGGTTGTAAGTGCTGTCCTAGCAACAAGTAATGCCCTTCTTCAGTGTGAACAAAAATACAGGTTTGTGGGAGTGGATGGATACCCTCACATAGACATTCTTATCTATTGGGGGAACAATATGAAGTTCTAATTGTTGCCAATAGGTGGGTTCAGTCAAAACACAAAAATGCAAAAATAATCTTACACCCACACACACAAAAACCCTTAACATTTGCTTACATTACTGAGATTTCTCCTTGATTCCCATTTGTGAAAGCCTGCATCGTTACCATCTTTCTTTTTTCTTTGGGTTTTATCACATACTCACATCTATGACTGAGTTGATTTCATCTGCAAGACGGCTGGCCTCATCCAGTAAGTCCCTGCCTTCCTTTACAGTGTTCTCAGTTTGTCGTCTGCCACTTTCAATAGCCTCTTTCTTTTCCTGTAGTACAGTGTGAACAAAACATAGAAATGCCTTTAGGTAAAACCCTATGCAGCCCTGTATTCCTGACTTCCCTGAGCTGTCTGAACAAAGACTTTGCAAACAAGGTATGTGATGTTGATAATGAGGCTAGATAAGAGTAACCCAGAATTCTCAGCCAATCCTCCAAGAGTTATTTTACTTAAATGCCTGTATAGGTACTTGTTTCACCCCATTGTGAGAGCCATTCAAGTGAAGAAAAGTTATGTCACAGTAGCTGAGGAATTAAAAACTAATTTTAAAGCAAGATGAATATCCATTTTTCTTAAACTAAATGTAAGTGTTGAATACGTATTACTAAACATGTGATAGTACAATGAATTACATTGGAACTAGATGTTGAATTCCTGAATCTAAGTCCTAATGAGTATTTTGTGAGCATGCACACAAGCAGATTTATTCTATGGGAGTTCTTTAAAAATTGAAAGAGATTGGATTTTTTAAGGAAATTTAGGAAATGTACTTTTCAAAAAAAAAAAAAGAGAAACTATCACATGGAAGAATAAACTTAATGGAGACTCCCATAAGAAGGGAGCAGACTCCAAATTTTCTTTGAAACTGATAGCCTGTCTCAACACTACATGAAACTCATTTCGAACCCAGAAGAGTAAAATCACTGAGAGATAAATAATAGCACTTCTTTATTTGGAGCTTAACTTTACTTATTTTTTCCTTTTACTTCTAATCACCTTTTTACCTGTGGATTTAACTGTATCAATTATAATTTTAAGTCTCTGCCATTTATGTTTTTTATATAAAAAATAATGCTACTTTATATGCTTATTTTGATCTCAAAATGTGCCAGATAGTTTTATAAGCTTTTCTCATTTAATTCTAGACTAACTTTATGGGTCCAGTGTTTATCACCTTTTCAAAGAATAGAAACAAACAAGGAAAACAAGTGAACAAAAGCTCATAGACACAGACAACAATATGGTGGTTGCCAGAGGGAAAAGGGGGTAGGGGGGTAGTAAAGGATAAAAGGGGTCAAATATATGGTGACAGAAGATTTAACTTTGGGTAGTAAATGCACAATGCAATTATGCACAATACAGGTGATGTGTCATAGAATTGTACACTTGAAACTTAGAGTATTTCATTAACCTATGTCACCCCAATACATTCAATAATAAAAATTAAATAATAAAAAAATAGAAAATTGAACAAGTTAACTGATTTACTCGAGGTCACACAGTTAGTATGATGTGGTTAAGATCCAAACTTGGTCAACCTAATGTTGGAGCTCAGACCTTCAGCTGTGAAAGCACTGACTCTTCTGCTGTAGAATCTGCATTTCTTATTTGCACTGGGATAGCACTAACTTCATACCCTTCTTTCCCTACTTCTTCACCAACCACGGTCAGTATGTTGCCAGGTCTATACACTTGTGCCGGCCCCTGAGCCTTTACACTTGTGTTTCCCTTAACCATGAGCTCTTCCCCAGTTCTTTGTTTTGCTTCCTCTTTCATTCTCTATTGATGGTCATTTCCCTGATCACCTATCTAAGACTTATCTTTATCTCAATTATTTTCCATAGACTAGAGGACAGTTATTACGAACCACATTTAGGCAACAGCCTGACTGGTCTGGGATCCCAGATCCACCCACTCTCATAAGCCATGAAACCTGGGGCAAGTAGTTTAGCCTCATGTGACATGTTACTCATGTGGCTCATTGACCAGGAGCATTAGCAGCACCAAGGAACATGTTAGAAATGCACAATCTCAATGCTTTTTGGGAACTACCAACTCAGAATCTGAATGTAACAAGAAACCCAGGTGATATACACAGGAAAATTTGAGAACTAGCTTAGAACACTGCCTGGTGCATAGTAAACACAATACAATTGCTGACTATTATATTACCTTATTTTGTTCTTTTTCTTAGCTCTCATTTATCTGAGTTATATTCTATATTATTATCTAGACATAGAAAATATTTTATTTTTTGTACAGATTGAATTATCTTAATTGTGCAAGTTATTTAAAAATCAGCAACACCAATTCATCACAATAGTCATGTACAGGGACTAGTGAAAACCCACAGTTGAACTGTTGCTGTTGGAGAATAACATATTGAATGCATCATGCAATTTCACTAAACATATCTTTTATTATTATATTAGTCCATGTTCCAGAGTTTATGGTCATATTATATACTACCTATTTATTGCTTTAGTGACTATATCCCTCACTCTAATATATATTCCATAAAAACATTCCTATGTATCATTGTATCTCCAATACCTAGAAGAGTTTCCCCAATAAATATGTTTGAATGAATAAATGAAATTAGAGTCCATTCCTGAAGCTTGAACTGGTGACACTTGGCTTATCAGCTACTCGCAGCACTGGCTAATACAGAACAAGTTTTGATAGGTCCTTTCTTCTTCGGGGTCAATGAACACAGGCGTAGACCTGATGCTCCTGATTACGAGTCATATTTTATCTTCCAAGGGTCTGACATTCTTTTACATAATTACTAATTATAGCCCTTAGTTTTTGCATGAACTGATTTAAAGTTATACCATGTACAGAGGCACTCAGGAACTTTTTTCAGCATGGCTTGTTTATATTAATGAATCAAGGTAATTTAAAATGCTGTACCAATGGAAGAGAGAACATTTCCATGTGTATGTTAGGTGAAGAGCTGCACACATTTTGGTTTCAATTAAGTAGTGAGTTAGAATCTTTGTAGAAAGCTTTATTCAAGTCTCTTGATGGAACCAATTTTTGTGCAAAATCAAAATGTGTTGTTTATCGTACTAAAGCAGAAATAATGATCTGGAGATTCAGGAGATTTCAGAGGTGGCTAACTTTCAGATTAGACACTGATAGAATCTAGCTATGAGCCAAGGAAAAAATGGAGATACGGAATGCCTAAATATTAATAAAAAGGGTACATTTAACATGTTTTTGTGTTTGTTTTATGGCACTTTATTTATTCATTGGGGAAAAAAAAGGTTATAGCAGACACTGTTGTATACCAGGGGACAGAGTGAACAAGAAGATGTGTTTCTCATGACTTGTCTGGAAGAGGGAGAAAATGAATGATAAAATTAATGTATATTTTTAAGTAATGATGAGTGACATAGAAGTAAATAAAGAGAGGGAATGAATGGAGAATGATGTGGGATATGAAATCCCTAAGGTAGAAAGCTTCGAGTGTCTGAGGAACAAAAAAGAGGCCCATGTATACAGAATTATTCTCCCAAAGTATTTCATAAGCATAATTAAGTGATTTTCTTTGAATACCAAAGTTGATCATAGTTCTACTTTTAACTTTTAATTAGATCTTAATTTATTCCAGAGCTTAGTAAGTTTAACACCTTTTGTGTGGGGGTAGTGGGGGAGGCAGTGAGGCGGTGTGTGTGTGGGGTGGATTAAAAGCCTGCAAAAGCTATCTTCCAGCCAATCCTTCATCTAGCAACTCACCCTTACTTTCATGTCAATCCTTCCTTTTACAAGGTTATAATGATAGATTTAGGGGCAGACTGTTCAATGTGTGCTCCTTTGTTTAACTGACTTGCTCTCTTCTTCTTGCCCATTGGCACAAAGTACCCTTTGCCTTTTCTCCATCGCTGGAAATGTCCCTCTAATCCCATCAGCTTCTAGAAGGCTGTATTCAAAGCCTTCTGTGATCTGGCACCAAACACTGTTTCCAGAGCCATCTTCTCCTAGAGACTTTTATATAGCTCATGAAGAGTTTTATCACTCTGTTTGACATTTCTTAGAACAACTTACACTGTTAGGGCTCTGTTTTTGGGCCCAAGATGCTCCATCATTTCTATCAACTTCTCTCAATTTCTGCTATGATGCTATTGTTTCTGTGAATATTTTGCTGATTCTCCCAGCTCCTACTAATCATAGAATTGCATGCAGTAAAAGGTTCAAATGCCTGACCTTGGGAGAGACTAAGTTTTATGAGGCCAGGAATCATTCCTGTTTGACCTCAAACACCTTAGTTACCACCGGCGTCATGAGATGGTAGAGGTCTAACTGACTTTAAATATCATCCTGGCCTGTTTTCCTAGCCTTATATTATGCTATTTCCCAATACAAAAACCAGTTCTCCAGTTTACATGAACCACTCACAAATCCCAAAAATGTAATTTTAATCCATGACTGCAGTATTTCAATTGCATCCAATAGCTTTCAGAATAAAAACAAAATTCCTTGGCTTAGTCTCAGAATGCAATTCTTCCATAACTGAGGGTCTGGCTCTGTCTTTGCTGGCTTTCTATCCCCTCACTTGTTCACATGCAGCCTTCATTCCAGTCCTGTCAAGCCAATGAATTGTCCTAAAATGCTTACTGTGTGTGTGTGTGTGTGTGTGTGTGTCTGTGTGTGTGTGTCTGTGTGTGTGTGCGCGCGCGCGGTTTGGCATATTTTTTTTCCCCATTTATGGAATGTTCTTCCCCTTCTCTTTTGACTAGCTAGTGTCTAGTGCCCACCCTTCAGGACTTAACACATGTATCAGGTACTCTGTGAAGCCCATCCTGAACCCAGGGGTGACTGAGATGTTCCTTTTTCTTTGCTTGACTCTGTAATTACTCTAGTGTATAGAATGGTTTACTTATATGTATCTCCCAATGAATATAAGCCGCTTAAAGTCATCCAACATGATGCTTTATTCTAAATCAAGTTCTCAAATGTAAGGCTGCATTTGAATAACTGTAGGAATGTTTAAAACACCAGTTGCTGGGTTCTACTAACAGTTTCTCACTTGATAGTTTTGGGTGGGGTCCTAGAATTTGCATTTTGAAAGAGCTTCTAGTTGATGCTAATGCTGTTGTTCCAAGGACTGTACAATGAGGACCGGTACTTGGACATTACCAATTTTTGTGCTTAGCACATTGTCTGAACTTAGTAGGGGCTTGTTAAATGTTTTTAATAATAAAAAATACATGCTTACATTTAAAGTAAATAAATAAATAAAAAGCCTATTTGAGCTGAGTCTTAATTAAATCACCTCCTTGGTGAACACAGGTACATTAAAGTTATTTATATAAAAAACTCAGTATTCAATCAAATGGATACAATGTATTTTTTGTTCTCACCCGTGTATGCACATCAGATCGACCCAGGGAAAGTTTTAGGATAGGGACCTGGGCCATACCCTAGAGCCACCAACTCAGTCTGAGTGACAATCCAAGGAACCCCTGTGTTCAGCAAACTCTCCAGGTCATTCCTTCTTAAACAACCTAAGAGGGGTGGTTAGGGTGGTACTAAGAAGTACCAGCCTCAGTAATCAACATTAATCAGCCTTGGCATACCACCTTAAATAAGCTATGTCTTACTTGTATTAATTTAATCAGTTTATCTGTTCACTCTAGGAAGTTTTTTAACAAGCCTTTACTTAAGCATGGCAGATAAAATGAAAATATGGAAAGGACCACTTAGATCTACCGTTCTGACTGGAAGCTCCAGACGTCTCCTCCAGACAGGGTGGGGCTGAGGGCAGGGCACGGATGATGGCTCCTCGTTTTAAACATCATTAAAAGGCAGGAATCACTAATAGCACCATTTATGGTGCCACTATAACTCTTCCTGAAAAATTTCCTGAATGCTTATTATACTTTCCACACAGGTAATTTTAATTTCTTAAACTGTTGCCATAAAGTGAAGGGGGCACCTCCGGGTAAGTTACACCACGGGTGTGTGACCGACAGGATGAATCCCGCCAGAGCCTCTGGCGTGACACCGGCCCAGCACCCCGCCTGGCAAGGCGGAGCTTTTTCTTTAGTAGAGCCAGCACGTCAGTGGACTCCAAGTTGGTTCAGATTAGATGCATCAGTTTAGGAAAAAGGGAGCTGCTTCCATCTTCTATCATAATGACAAGGCTAAGTCCCTGGAGAGAGAGCCGGAAAAAAAAAAAACCAACTTAAAAAAAATTAATTTGTCCTCCTCTTCATCCAAAGAAAAATGGACAGAAATGAGTAGATAAAAAAAAATCCAGATTCATTTTATTCAACTGTCATGCCACAAATATGCCAGGGAGTGTTCAGTTATAGTTGAAGGTGAGATTATATGTAAGAAGATATATAGGTCTGCTGCTCTTTTCATATCTGTTGAGGGTCAAATACTTTGAAAACAGCAACATTAAGTTTGTTTCTGGGAGGAATTTGCTGCTTTTTAAATATACCAAATACAGGTTTGTGCCATTGTTTGGACTAAAAATTCACTCTTGGGAAAAGTGATCAAATTGCCATGTTAAGTGTTGAGAGAGAGAGAGAGAGAGAGAGAGAGAGAGAGAGAGAGAGAGAGAAACATTGATGTGTGAGGGAAACATCTATTGCCTCCATTAGGTGCCCCAACTAAGGGTCAAGCCTGCAACCTAAGTAAGTGTTCTGACTGGAAATCAAACCCACGACATTTGGTATATGGGATGATGCTCCAACCAGAGCCTTGTACTGACTTGCTTGTTCTTCTAGTTAGTGGTATGGTTATTAAGACCAAGGTCCTTTGACTCCTAGGGGAGAGCTCCTTCCTCAGTAGGGCACTGTTTTTAAATCTTCAATAATTTAAGTTATTTACGCTTTGTTTGATTTTTATGGGTAATGATCATTGATTTAAAAAGGAGAAAGAGCATTCCCTGTTCTGCTTCTCAGAAGTCTCCTTTCAGTGTTGTCTTTCCTGATGTCTGTAACCGAGCAAAATTCAGCCAGCCATGTTTGCTCAGCCTCCACCCCGCAGCCCCAGCTATAGATGAAAGAGCCCCTCAGACTCACGTCCAGAGCAGTCATGTTTTTCTGGTTTGCTGCAGATAAGCGATTAGCTTCTCTGATTTTATCCGTGGCTTCTCTCAACAGGTCCGAAGCATCATCAAGCTTGTTTCTGTAGTCTGTCAGTTTCTCCCGGAGATCCTGTTCCATTTCTTCATTTTTCCCTCGGGACTCTCCAAATAGCCTCTGAACTTTCTTCAGCAGACCTTCCGCAGCCCTGGAAGCACCCCAGCCCAACAACAGACAGTAAGCCCTGTCACTTTCTCAGGGTTTACTGCCATTAAACTGTACTACCAAGACATGCTAATATTAAAAGAATGGAAAAGTAGGACGATATTTAAAGAAGGCTGACTATATGTTAAACTAAGCTGAAAACAGGTGCCTGAAAAGTAGTGTGACTATTTACCATTGAAACTAAACCCCTCAAATCCACACACTTTTCATTTGTTAGTAATATAAAATTGCAGTTGGGACCTCTTATAATCTGACTGATGAAGTGAGTTTTATGATTTATTTTACATACCAGTAGAAATGCTACCTGGTTCAACATGAGACCTTTCCTGTTACTTAGAATGTAAGGTATGAATATATTGATATGTTTGGTTAAAAAATGTGAAAACAACTCCGTTATTGACATGCTAGTGTAAAGTCATGTTTTTGATCCACTATTCTTTCTTTTCTGAGTAGTCTGAGAGTTTCCTGGGATTAACAATAGTTTTCCTAAAGTGATAATATCTGAACTCTTAACAAAGGCTGAATACTGGAAAAATAGCAGTTCTAAAACTAATAGGCATCATAATTTTTTGAAGCAGTTCTCAAAACAGTGCTGGGCTCTAGCCCAAAGGTTCTGACTCAGTATTTTTGGGGCAAGATTTGAAAATTTGTATTTCTAACAAGTTATCAGGTGTTGCTCATGTTATTATAATATATGTTACTTAAGTATTAATAACTCTATCACTTTGAAGTTAGCTTTGGATGCAAAAATATTTTTTTTAATTGAGTGTGTGGTCACATGAGTTAATTAGCACCAGTAAAATCACTATTACTATTATTCCCACCTCAAATTCCTGACCCTGATTTCAAGGTAATAAGCAATTGACACCTTTTTATTTAGCATTTCATGATATGACAAAACATATAGGATGATCTGCAAAATTCATAGTTTTATTTATTCAAAGGTATTTTCATCAAAATGAAAAAACTGTTGATAGTTTAAATGTTTCAAATACAGGCAACTAATAAAGCAAGCCCATAAGCCTAATAATTATAGAAGGGACAGCACCAGAAAAGATCAATTACTTGGTTATTTATATATGAGCAAAACTATATTTTCAATCCAAACAAGCTAAATGATAACTATGTCAATAAAAATGAAAAAGCAAGCAAAATACCTTATACTCACATTTGTGATGGAAAATGTAGAAAACTGTGAACAATTTGGAAAGCTCATCTTATCAAATGAAAACATAATAGATGATCTACTCACACCAACTCATCTTCAGCAACTTCTTTCTGTGTGTCTAGATTTTTCCTCCTCAGTTCGCTCATCATCTGATCAATTTCTTTCTGAAGCTCTTGCAAATTTTTCTCAAAGGCCTTGTCTTGAATTCCTAGAGTTTCATTTAGTTTTATAGCTTTTTCATTTACAGCTGCAGGAGATAAAACACATTTTGCAAATTAGTAAACAAGAATGCCACATGCGGAAATGCCACTCAAGTCTGCTCTTCTCCACCATCTCCAAATGAAACATGGCCTGCCATGGTGTTCCCTCTGGGCAACAGAGGCAGCTACTACAACAAACCTTAATTAACAGGGAAATGCAACATTTCTCCATGTTAGGTTTCTTTTGAGGGACACTGTAATTAATGCAGGGTGTCTTTACCCCAAAAAGAGGAAATACGGAGAAAGGTGGCTCAGGTTCTTTTCAGGTAAGGGGCGAAAAATGAGATGTAGTGTAACACTTGGAAGCTGAAAACATAAGATCTGCCGTGCTGGTAAGACAATCATATTCAGTCTTTTTAAAAATACTGAGTATGGAAATACTATCAGTGATAAAATATCTAAAAATGAACCTGTCTTTGCACTTCAACAGAGTTTCGAGTTCATGTTTTTAAAAAAGTGAGGAAAGGAGTGCTGGTCCAGAGACAAGTGTTATAGATTAGGGTTCAAAGATAACTTCTAGCCGTAATGACCATCGTAACAGCCTGTGTTTATTATGCACTGAGTGGGGTCTCAAATTGTGCTCTTTGGAAATCTAGGATTCTGTAGGTGCTTCGGGTATTCTAAGAATGAATTCTGTTCTGCCAAGAATTTCTTTTATAGGTTGGTATTCGGGGAAAGATTTCATGCGAAAAAAGAATTCTTTGTCAAATAAAAATTTGAAAAACTGGTGAATTGAAACATTCTTGCAGTTCTACCATTAATTTTAGACCAACTTTTCCTGAAGTGTGTTCTATGGAATGTTAATTTAACAAGTTGCAAGAAGATATTTTTCTGAACTCTGTTGTCGGCTAAACCCTTACTTCTAGAATGCTATATATAGGGTGGGTTGGAGAGGTATCAAGGTGTAGCTCATAAAGAATCCTGACACTCATTTCTATTCTTAGAGAAGCTTTCCTGATTGGCGTTGGTAAGAGTTATTCCAAGGACAGCATGGGCAAAGCTCTTAAAAAAGGTGCACCCTACAGAGCAGCCATGGTGGGTGTCGCACTGTGGGGAAGTACCACGATTCTGAAATGTGGTCCCCAAGTGAGCATCACCTAGAAACTTATTAAAATGTAGATTCCCAGGCCTCACTTCAGATGTACTGAGTTAAACATTCCAGGGGTGGGGACCAGCAGTCTATGTTTTCACAAGTCCACCAGGAGATTTGCAAGCATGCTAGGGGATTTGAGAATCACTGGGACTGTAGAAGAAATTGAGCTTCTACCTCTACTCTATCTACCCTTTCCATATGCGTCTTTCTAATTCTCTTTTCATGATAAATATTTTTGGCTAGAGAGTTGCTGCAGTTAAACCCTTATTCCTGAAATAGCCACAGTTTAATTTGTAGAACAATTTGAATCAGGTGTTTCGAAGAACAACTATGGGCATTCCTAGCCCTTTGGTAAAAATTACTGCTCAAGTGCTGTATTCCTAGAAGGCAGAGAATGTGGCTCTCCATTGGCCAAGTGGCTCATAGCCATGACTTGAAATATGCTGAAGAACCTTCCCAAGATCTCGCCCCCATTGTTCGTAATATATCACCAACACTGTGTTTATTAAGGAACCATAATGACTGTGGGCTGATTGGTTTGAAAGCTCTTTGGTCCAGTAGGTTATTTGAGAACCATGCTAGAATCATAAGGATTAAATCTAAGAAGGTTTCTCCTTAGACTTCAAGAAAAACAATAGTAGATTTGGCTATACCTATAATACAGCCCCCATTTTTGGTCTCAGTGCATGCCTGTGTGCAGTTGATTTTAACCAATTGTAGCACGTAAGTAACCATTGATTTAATTGGCATTCACTTTTTTTTTTTAAATGAAAGAGATAAACCCTACTTCATAATCTGCCAAAGCTGTTTGTTTAACTGAATTTAGGTCTTGGGCTCTAGTGGTATTGAGGAAGGGAGAAATGTGAGATACTACCCCCTCTTTCTCTTGTGGATCATTCTTAAAGCTAAATTTCTGCAGGGAAGAATTTGGTGGGAAAAGGATATCAGAGAGAGAAAGGAAAATATGGCTATACCTTTTGTAATGCATCATTTCTTTAAAACTAAAGCCATGTGTAAGCAACTAGGAAAAATTATTAGCGTACTCAAAAGCTGCTTTAGAAAAATGATGATGGCTCCACTGCTTCTATCTATGGAAGTTAGGAACTCTGAAAACTTTTAAACTAAAGATGAATGTGCTCGTCTCTTACTCAGAGACATACACTACAGCTTCAGCATGTTTTTAATGGTATTGAAAAAGAATTGCAACATACGTTTTTAAAATTTACTGATTTATGTCTACCTTATTTCAAAGAAAACTAGTAGATTTAAAATTTCTTTAAAACAAGATAAAATTGACTTAAAAGGAGATAGTAAAGATTAAAAAATTAATGTAAATCAGAAATACTAGTAGACAAAAAGGCATACCATAATGTTCAGTGCAATGAATCCTAAATTTAGCACTAAGCATCTTACTAGCCAAGGCATACCAGCGGACAAAAATGAGGTACTTAACAGGTATACAGTACATATAACATACAAATAAAATAACTGCTCAGGAGAAGCAAAACTATTTTTCTAAAAAAATTCTTCGGTGGATAAACTTATCATAAATGACAAATACTGCTGTGATCTGAGAAATAGAAAAAAAGGGTGTTTGTCATTTATTTAGTCCCATTATATGTCAGGACATAAACTGATAGGTTTATATATGTTCACCCATTAATTCTAATAGTGCATGGAACACAATATAGCTTATTCATAATCTAATCAGAAGTCATAACACAGTATACTTCAAAGATTATATTGCGATAAGAATGCCTTACCATGCAGATTATTTTGCCAATACAAAAGAACCTATGCACCCAATGTTCATCGCAGCACAATTTACAATAGCCAAGTGTTGGAAGCAACCTAAATGCCCATCAGTCGATGATTGGATCAAAAAGTTATGGTACATATACACAATGGAATACTATGCAGCAGAAAGAAAAAAAGAACTACTAAACTTCGCGACAGCATGGATGGAACTGGAGAGCATTATGCTAAGCGAAATAAGCCAGGGGGCGAATGACGAATACCATATGATCTCACCTATAAGCGGAACCTAAACAACAATGCAAAGAAGCAAGGAAAATATGACCAGCAACACTGAAAGGAAAAGAAATCAACAGAGACAAGAGGGAAGGGGGGGGGGCAGGGAAAGGGAAGGGAAGGGGAAAGTCAAGGAACATATAGCAAGGACTCATGGACAAAACCAAAGGTGAAGAGCTGAGGGAGGGAAGGAGGGAGGGGGCAAGGGAAAGTGGTGGGGGGTTGGCAGAGACAAATGTATTTGAAAAAATAAATTAAAATAAAAAAAAGAAAATAAAAAGAATGCCTTAGATTAATAAATGTTGATTATCTGTAAAGAGGCCATGACTTATGGCAGCAAATAGGGAGAGTAAGGTATTCCATGTATCTAAAAAAAAAAAAAACTGGAGAAGATAGTGCCAGGCTGAAGCACTCACTTTTCCCAGCAAATTACTTCCACTAATAAAACCTAAAAGTACTAGTGATTATTCTAATTATTGCCATTTTAAGAGAGAAAAAGGGGTGTGGAGATGTTGTATTACCCACTTAAAACTTTTGGTGAGTTCCCTTTTTTAATTTAAAAAGTCCCCTAAACTACCGAGCCTTTCAATACACATACACACCTCAGTTAGAATTTAGTTTAACTCTGGCATATTCAAATGTAAATTTTCGTGAAATTTTAACAGTTGGGTTAATTCTGCCAAAGTTCTTTAAACACGGGTGTTGGGATGATTTTGGTCATCATATATGTTAGTACTTGCTGGGGAAGAGAGTAGTATTCACATATTCTTTAGTTACAGAATCACAGCCGTCCCACGTGGCACTTGACATGAATTAGAAAAAGGTGCCTGATTTGAACAAACACAACCAGACCACCCGACTGATAGGCAATTTAGGAAATGGGAGACACCTTTGACGATACTTAACCTTTGCTTTGATGGATGGATTGTGCATGGGGAGCAAAGCCTGGTTAAATATCATTTCCACTCTGCCCCCTGCTGGTGGCCTTTGTGCAGTGCACAAACTTGGAGGTTGAGGGCACAATGTAGAGAAGTTATTAGCGCTGATACTTGAGGCTGCAGAAAACGTATTAACTCTTATGTGCTTTCGCTTGACTGAAATGAAAAAAGGGAGTTCGCAGGATAGACTTCTTAGTGTTGAGTGTTTGAGATTGAGATGAAAGGAAAAGGAAAGCTTCTTCAGTATTGACAAGTGCCTTCAAGAACCCAGGCATAGGGAAATTGGAATGAGATGTTTTTTTCCCATTGGGGGAAGGTGGGCACTTCAAGTAGCATGAATGGAAAATAAAATTAGGAAAAGCATAACAACTTCATCAGGCAGAGGATTAACCACATGAATGAACTGAGATTTTTTGGTAGAAGTAATTTCTGTTTCAGATCCTGACATGTTTTGTCTCAGATTATGCCTCAGATTAAAATTCTGTTGCTTCTTGCAGTGGGGAATTTTGGGGAGTTTCTATCTCTTCTTGGCAAATGATTCCTAAGAATTACCTGTCAGAATCTGCCTTGAAGTTCTATCTCATGTCCTGACTTACTTGGCTATATTGCAAAGCAAACTATATAAAATGCAAAACATTATAGAGTAATAAAAATATTTCACTTTTTTAAAGCAAAAAACAGACAAACAAACAAACCCAACTACAGTGACAAAACAAAAAACCCCATCCAAGCCCTTTTTCTTACTTTCTAAACATGAATGCACGTCTATTATATATTAATAGATATTTAAGAATATCTATTGTTTCTTTTTTAAGTTTTCTAAAGAAACTATTGTTTCTTTTTTCTTTAAACTGTTTTCATTACGAGTTTCTCTATCTGGGCTTTTGCCCAAAGGTGGCTTCCACTTTGATTCTCAATCAGATTGGCAGGTGTCAAGAACTAACCCCTACAGAATTGTGGGCAAAGTGCAGTACAGCTTCTGGTTAGGTAGCACATCCAAATCCCAAGCAGCAGAGGTTCATTAAAAACCAGTTCTAAGTGTTTTAGAAGGCATTTGGAGAAATTAAAGTGCTGTTTTAATGTATTGATTAGGTAGATAAAATTAGCCTTAAAAATTAAGCATCTTTTTAACTAGACTGGAATACAACAATAGCAAATCATAAGTTGCCCATTAGTTATTTAATCATAACAGCCATTCCTTAAAAAGTGAAACATTCCTAAAGAGGTATATTCGATTAACTGCTATTCTGCACTCATAATTGCTAATTTACCGACTGTTGTCACTAATTTAATACTCTAGATTGTAAGTTCTCAGCAGATAATGCCCTTGCATAACTTGACCAAAATACTTTTTAAAACCCAGCTATCAAATTGAGAAGTGACATCTCTTACTGGGGAAATTCCAGTCCCTGTAATCCCTTTTTCTATTTTTCTGTTGGGAGAAATGGTGATTGAATATTTGGGACGTTTGTAATACCTTCTGCATCCCGGACAAGTTCCTTAGTGAATTCTCCTAAGGAGTTTGCTCTCGTGTTGGTCCTCTCAGCATCCTGTCCAGTTTGCTCGCCATCTGCTGTCACTTTGGTAGCCTAATGACCCACATTCAGGAAAAGCATAATTAATAAAGATGATGAAGCTACTGTTAGATAAATTCCCACAGGCTACATTTCCTTTCAAATATTACTCTGAGCCAAAGGCAATCAATGAATTATTGATGAGATGTACTGGAAGTGACACCCTGTGCTCCAGTATACAATTAAACTTTATTACTTCTTCCATGAAATGGAAATCAGAGAATTGTATTTGGTCTTTTTAAAACCCTCATAACATGCAGTGGCACAGAGGAAGTGATAAGGCACAATTCATTTTGAAATATCTTTAAGGTACTGTTGTCAAAAGTCTTTAATGCATTCTTCAGTCTCCACGTGTTGCAGTTTTGTCCATATTTTATTTACGGAGAAAATGTGGAGTGTAGCAATGACAGAGGCACAGGCAGTCTGTCTCAGTAAGCTCCATCCTATAGATTTGGTTTAGATCAATATGTTAATTAAAGGAACAAAGAGGGGAAATGCTTAGCTACTAAGTAGTAAATGCTTGTTTTATAACACTCAAAAGATGCCAGTAAAACATTAAGGAAGAATAAATGCTATGTTTTTCCATACGTCACCACCAGAAAAGGGGGATGTTAATCACAGAACCATACATTATTGTCAACAAAATAAAACAGAACTCCCAAACAACTTCACCTCCCAAAGAGAACCTGCATGCAGTTTCACCTTTATTCATGTTGAAGATACAATTTGGACACAATGGAATAAATTTCATGTGTTCATAGTTAAGATACACCCTATTTAGTAACATAAAAATGGCATATGTAACATTAAAATTTTCTTAAAAGAAACAAGGTTTAGAGCAACCTAAAATACATTTGCATTTCATTTTTATGTGTATGCATATGCTAATAAATATGATCTCTTTTTAAATATGATCTTTTTTAAAAAAATTGGGATACTCTAATTGCTGATAATGAATCAAATAATCACAAACTGCCTCAAAATAATTGGAATAAGATCCAAGTTATTAATACCAGAATGTTTGCATTCTAGATGCTCAAAGAATCTAGTTTTTTAGACTTTTTAGATAAAAGTAGATTTTAAATAGATCTTGAAACAGAACTAAATGCCCAGCCAGAACAGAACATGGTTAGAGATGCTACAGAAATTGTTTTGCATTTTGTGATTTCCCAGGGGCAGAAAGAGGTTAAATTCATGAAGGTTTCAAAGTTTTGCATAAAAGGTAGCATATAAAGTCTAACTATTATCATCTTCTTAACCTGCAAGTGTTACTATCACAAATAAAAAGATGAAAGGATAAGAATCCATTGGAAGCTTTTAAAATTCCTCTTTACAGTTTACATTATATATGCACAATAGTTTGGAATGTGTTAGTGTATTAGAGTGCTCTGGATTAACTCCTAAAATAATGATAATAATGAAATCACTTAACTGTTAGATTTAAGGCTCAGATGGGTCAAATGTTTTCTTACATATCCACACCATACATACATACACATGTATAATTTTTCAAACGTTGCTTTTGAATCACCAAGGTCAACAACTTAAGATTTTGACTATCTAACCTGCTTTAGATGTTTGTCTACTCTGGACTTAACTGTATTCTATGATATCACTCCTATTTGTATATGTCACAATAGACTATAATATGGGACTTGATCTAGAATATGGTCATCTTTCAATATCTTATCATAAGAATTAATGAATCACCAGCATTAATATTTCTTACTATGGAGAAAATATACATTATCATTTGAATATAATATTTCTTTTTTACTTTTTCAGTATCTTACCTAGGTTACCAAAATATCATAATTTACATCAATATTCACACCTCTGAGTTTAACAATTCTTAATAGTTTGAAGCAACAAATTTTTAAAAAAGATTTTATTTACTTTTTTATTTTTAGGGAGAGGGAGGGGAGGGAGAAAGAGAGGGAGTGAAACATCGACGTGCAAAACATCGAGAGGCAACACCAGTGTGCCTTGACCAGGAATCAAACCCACGGCCTTTCAATTTGTGGTATGATGCCTAACACACTGAGCTACACCAGTCAGGGCAAAAGCATCCAATTTTTGAAAATCAATGTCTATCAATCCACCTTCCCTTTTATTCTGGAAAATCAAGATAGTATTCATTGCCTTGACTTCTACTTACCTAGTTTTTCAGTAAGGTATAAGCATCATCTACAACTCAGTACCAATTATATGAGTACTCCAACATTAAGATGTCAAGATTTTTATACGACCCATGCTAAGAAACAAGTTAATAGTTACGACCAATACCCTCTGCAATCAATCTCCTTGGCTTCCTTTTAGTATATGAAATGTGTCAAACTGTCTCCTTCTTAGGGCCTTCTTGTATCCTGTTGTCTTTGCCTGGAATGAGCTTTTCCTCTATACTTCCAGTGACTGGATCCTTGTCATCCGTTAGTTTTCATTTTAATGAGCATATCTTCATGGCATGGCCATTTGCAAGGGACCTATCTAGGTTTCTTCTCTTCCTGCAGCAAAACACTTCCTTCGCTGCACCGTGCATGGCAGAATTACTTATTTAGGTAAAGGCACCGCAGAGTCACCTTTACCTGAAAGGCCCTTCCTGCTCTTCTCACAGCGCTGGTCCTGCTCCACTCAGTTCTTAGCTCTGCTCCCCTGGAAATTTTCCTACCATCACCCCCGCAGCCCCTGCTTGGTCCTGGGCTTTCTGGTCTCTCTGTGAGCAGGTATGGCCTTGTCCTTCCAGAAAAGGAGCAGCAGGGCATGGAGCAGACACCGATTTGAGCTGTGCTCTTTTCTGTCTTCCAGGTGCCCACTGGGCCCTAGAGGTGGGGCAGGGCTACCTCCCTGACTATGTGGTAAGCTCTTAGAGGGCAAGAACTTGGCCTGTTTTGCTCATCACTTTATATCCAGCTCCTGGTATGATGCCTACTTTATAGCAAATATTGAATGAATGTTGTTAAACATAGCAACTAAACAACCATTTCTTAACTAATATTGCCAAACTTATTATGTATCTTTCTATGAACATTCCTGGAAAAAAGCTTTTGTTCATACTATTCTTCCTTAACTCCTCTCCAATTATCCCAAATAAATCCAGCTTTCGAGATTCAGTTCCAACCTCCCCGGCTCTGTGAAGCCATCCCTGACTACTTTGCACATGCTCTCCTTTCTTAGATATTAAAAAACAAAAAACAAAAAACAATGATCATGACTATTTTGAGTAATTACTTTGTCAGGTGTTTTGCTGTATCTATCTCATCTTCATCCGTGGCAGATGGCGTGCTCTCTCTCTCGATATGCCTTCTCAATACCATTCAAACTGGCCACATGCCTGGTGCTGTGCTTGCCAGTGAATGTGGATGGCTGGGCAGTCTTCTGGGCATTTTTTGGAGCCTCATAGGAAGCTGCTGCTCAAGAGCTATTGCTGAGAGCTTAGGAGGAGAGCCAGGCCTGAGAGCCTTCGGATTCCAGCACACTGCATTCTAGCTGGCTTCATGGTAATTCAAATTTAGCCTGTGATTACACACCAAGTACCATGCCGGTGCACATGGAGTCAGAGGCTGGGGGTGGGCAGAACCGATCGGGGCCAGCACAGTGCTTACCGAGGAAGATGGCCTTCTCTCTGCGAAGACATGAACAGCTGCCTCTCTTGGACGGACTCTGGGAGAGGAGGGGATGTGAGGTGCTTGGCATCAAAAGCTATTGACTTGTGGTGTTAGCACTCCAAAAGGTGGGTTACACAGTCAGGCTCAGCCACGCCCAGATTGATCTATGTGTGTTCAGGAGGGCTTACACCCTCTTGTGTCTCATTTACTCCTCCTGCCTTTAGAGGCACACAGAGGGCATGATCCCTAGTTTTACACTGTGAAAATGAAGATGTGGAGGGGTTAAATGACTTATGTAAACTTACACACATAGGGAATTGAAGACAAAAAATATTTTCTGCCTCACACCTTTTATTCTACCTGTATCAAACATCCAGGAGGACTAGAAAAACACAGGAAAAAGATGATCATTCTGGGTGGGAGGAGGGGCATTGCTTCAACTTACGCACGATTCCATGTGCATAAGCTTCTGGTTTAAGAAAATTAATATGTTTAAAAATCCATATCAGAACAGCACATAAGCATATTTTTAAATATCACGTGTCATTACACAGTAATTAAATTGAAAAGTTACCCTTGTCAAACCACCCATGAGAGACTCCACAAAGAAAGCCTATGACACATGCACTATCACCTACAGGGAGTGGTGACAGGTAGTGGTATCACAGGAGTGAAATTCACAAAAATCAGTTTCCCAGTGATAGGCTACTGATAATGTTACAGATGAATGTAAATAGTGCATGACAGGAGCTCTCTGTCTGGTATAGTTTTGCTCTTCTTGTGTTTTATTAAATTACCATCCCTATCCCTTAATCATTTTTCCTCTTACTCACTATTATCTTGTCCTTTGAGTATTTGACAAATGTCTTCTCATTTATCCCAATATGTTGTACAATCTTCCTTTCATTCTCTATCTTTGATTTTCTCATTTTAACATCCTTTTACCTCTGTCCTATAATCTTTCTAGTGTCCCATCATAAATGATGCCTTACGCAGTACCGCATATGTATCTGTTTTACTTCTGATTACCTTTTCTCTTTACATTCAAGTTCACACAAATAGGTATGTTTTCTTTTTGTTTTTTTCTTTTTCTGGAGTATTTATGTCTAGGCAGCATGCATTACCATTAAGCACACATTCATGTACTTCTGAACAATGTAGCTGTTACTTTCTTGCTTTTGCGCGAGCAGTTCTCACTGTGCCTCTTGAAATCCGCACATAATTTTCTTGGTTGGATATTACCCGTGTCTCTCATATTCTGCCTTCTTTATGTTAAAACTAGAATCTAATGGAGTAAATCTAACGACTGAATAGATAACATTGCTTAGATGCCATCTACCTTTGCATTTGCAGACTTAATATGGTTTCCTGCTAAAATTAAATTTCAGATCTAATCATTCATATGATATT